TCCAGTAATTGGAATATAAAAAATTAAATATTTTGGAGTAAAAATAGCCTATTTAAATACACAAGAAATTCTGCTGATCAAATATTTTATATTTCCTTTAATGAACTACATTTTATGAAATACATTCAAATTTTGTATACTTGGAAATAAAATGTTTTTTTCTAATTCCTTAAGCAATGAGGATGAAATCTAAATTGTGATTAGTAAAGAAATTCTAGGGATAAGTCAGTCCTAAGAGTGCTGGCTGCTCTTCCAGAGGACCTGGGTTTGATACCCAGCATCCACATAGCAGTTCACTTCTGTCTGTAATTCCAGTTCCAGGGGATCTGGTGCCCTCTTCTAGCTCCCCTGGGCACCGTATGCATGTGGTGCAAAGACATATATGCAATTCAAATACACATACAATAAAAATAAAATGTAAAAAAGAAATTTGAGCTCACTTTTAAAAAACTAAAAAAATTTTATTTGAAACTGTAAACAGTAGAAATCAGCATTCTTCTGACTGCAAGACCTGTGTAAAATTGTGATGAAGGAATTACAAATTTTAATTTCATAACAATTTAATTGTTTGTGAAAATAATACATATAAACAAGAAAATTAATCTTATTAAATCTGTAACTTGATCAGATTAAAGTAGATCTCTGTAACTCCCTACCCTTTCCTAAATCAGAATTTAATTGCTAATGAAAACAGTGAGAATGAAAAGGGGAATTACTTAATTTAAATTTTCAATTCAAAAACACCAAATTAAGTTTTTTTTTTCTGCTTCAAAAAGTCACATTAGTGAAGTCATAAAATTTTATAACTAAGGAAAACTAAATCTCTCAAGTGTTACTGAATGAATACATTAAAAATAGCTATAGTATCCTTTGTGACATTTTACAAATATTTGGAGCAAAACAGGTTTTCTATTCAAACAGTGTACCAGTGAGGGAATATTAGTCCCAAATTCAGCAGATTCTCAGTGTAATATGACGTTGTCACTGGAATATATGTCCCCTGTTCCACCAGTGCCTATGACAGTTTATGGAACAATTCAAAGTTACGTGAAACATTTTTTGAGGTCTACCAAAGACAGATGATTTTGATGAAAGGCATATCAGATTTAAACCATAGAGCTACTCCTAGAAACATGAGAGGAATGGTAAGCAGATCTTATGCCAAACAAGAAAACAAACAGACGCTACCAGCAACAGCAGCAACAATTACAAAAACAGCTTAGTTAAATTCAGGTTGAACTAAAGAAAAATAAGATCCTTAAATAAATGGTGAGTCATGATAGTTAGAAAATAGATGGAAATATTATTTATACTATCCACATCCATCTAATAAGAAAAGGTGCTTACTGTCACTTATGTTGGTCTAAGTTTATGAACACTACCAGATAACATCAAACAAAGTTCTTTAACAGGATAAAAAAATATTGCTTAGTATTTTAGAAAAAAAATATTCCTCTTAAATAACAAGAAATTGCATGTCAAACTTGCCACAAAGTGGTACTCCATTAACACAAAAGAAATCCTAGAAAGAAAGGCATTCAAAGAGCATTGGCATAACTCTGAAGGAGAGGACTCATATATAGAAATTCCAGCAGGACATTCTGTAGAGACGATTTGTAATCCCTTTAGGCATACTGATACTGTCTCAGAGAGGGATATCTAGACATTGCACTTCTGTGTGTTTCTTTATAATATGCCAGCATTAAAAAATTTAAAGAGCTTTAGTAACACTAAATCTAGATAATTACTTCTGGAGATAGAAAAGAGTTATGATATAAATGATAGCAATCTATATGATGAAATTAAAATATTTTATAACACTGTGATAAAGATAAATTAAAATATTGACCTTATGACAATTTTTATACATAGCACCCCAAATTATGCTTTTTTCCAACATTAAATATTACACTAAACATTTTCTTATCAGTTCTTTTTTTTTAATTTTATAATTCAATTTAATTTTACATATCAGCCACGGATTCCCCAGTCATGCACTAAGGACAGGTCCCGGTCCCATTGCCTGGGTGCCTCCCAAACAGTCCAAGCTAATCAACTGTCTCACTTATCCGGAGGGCCTTGTCAGTTCTAATTGCTACTGCCTGAGAAAAGCAAATTTTCTGCAAATTGAAATTAACAAAGACTACAGTAACTCAGAAAAATTGTCACTTTGCATTGCTCTCCTTAAGATAAATACTGTATGAGAATATTGATTTAAAAAAACATAGTTATTGATTTTTCTGGAATCAAGGCAAGAAACATAAATTTCTTGGAATAAATATGTATTTTAACAAATATATATCCATTTTATTTTTACCCAAATATAGCTACCCATAAAGAGGAATCTAGACATATACACAATAATTATATTCATCTATGGTATACTGTAAACTTGAAGCCACATTAAAACAATAACTTTATGCATAATTTTAGTTTAAATTGAATGAAGACACACCTGGCTAGGTAAGTAAAGCTTTAGAACACATTTTATTTGTCATTTTTCATTTAATTCATAATGTTCTTATAGTTGTACAAATATATTCCATTAGTATTTTTCCATATTTCACATTCGTTAGGGGCAATCACAGTGTAACTGGGTATTTAGTTGGGGTAATTTTCCTTTCAGTAAATTCAATCCCATTTCAAAAGACACAGAAAATCTGATCCTACTCTATGATCTCCTTGAGTTCTCAGAGGCTGTGCGCTCACACTTGTCTCTGGTTCCTCCCTCCTTCAGTTTATAGATTCTTCCTGCAAAGCAGAAGTCCCTGTTTATGAGTTTAAGTTGTTCTTGTGCAGTCCACATTTCTTCCACTTAAAATTTCTCACAAACTGTGTATGTGAGACTTCCCAAAAGTTAGAAAAGGTGATATAGAGAAGTAGGGAGGGGGTACAGAAATTCTCACCTCCAAATGTTTACTGGTCTCCTCACCTTCAACTAATGTTACCACATTCTTATGAAGTGTTTCAAAGTTATGGCACCTGTATCTATGGCACAGATTTCTTCCTGTTTCATTGATTCCTCTATTTCCAATCTTTCTACCTATCTTTTCCTCACCCATTTCTTTCCCACATCCACTGCACCTTCTCTGAAAACTCTTAATTAACTCTTTTATTGTTCAGCACAAAACAAAACCATCTCTAGTCTCTACTCCAAAACTGAGATCTAAGCCCATTTTGACTAAACCAAAACCCACTAAGGTACTTTGGAAAGGGACCAGCTACATTGGTAGCATAAAAGACCAGGTTATTTTTTTAATAAAATTCTTCCCTCTTCACACTTTTAATGGCAGCTAATGTTTTTAATAGTAGTATTCTTTTTTTGAACCCTCAGTTTCATTTTAAACAATTTCATAATATTGCAAGAATATAGGACTGTGACTCATCAGGACCTAAGCATAACAATATGGCTGCTAGTGGTAGGTGTTTCATCCATTCACAAAAATTAAACCAATAGCAGAACTTCATTTTGAAGAAAACTTCCTTGCATAAGAGAATAGACATGAATAAAATGGAAGGTTTGTCATGGATCCCAAACTTAGTTTTTATAGGCCCAATTGTGGGAACAGGATGAAGGGTGTTTACTTAGCATTAGGATGCTCTTGTCTGTGAGAGCCATGCTATTCCTAGTTCCTCCTAGGGTACTGTTAGAGATTGGAGTTTGGGCTGTAGAGAAATACATTTCTTCAATTTATAGTCCTGTTCAAAGAGACAGTAGTCTTGTGGAACATCAGGTCTTCCCAGAATATCCATACCTACTGTAGGAGAAGTTGGTGCTAACCAGGGACTTTCCCTTTATTCTGTTCCTCTACCATCCTCAACAAGACTCTTACATGAGTGTAGTACAGTCCTTGGTGCAAAGAACTCTCTGCAGATACTTATTCTGCAATCTTCTGACTCCTCCCACCTTGGGAGCTATTCAGATCTTTATGCAAGGCTTCAGAATGTCACAGCTCTAGCTTTCTTTTAAGGAATCCCTTCCTCACTGCTGCTGCATTTCAGTTCCCAGACACTCACACAGAGCAATCCTGATTAGATCAGGAAAAGGGGTGCTGATGCAAGCATATTATCAAATGCTACTTAGTCCTCTCACTCTTTATCCACAGTCCAGAGACCTAGCAATTCCACTTCCTAAACGTTTCCTCCTCCTCTCTGTTTTTTTCTTTCTTATCACTCCATCATCTCTTACTTGGATTACTGGAACAGCTCAATAACTAGTCACTTCATGTCAGGGGTTAAGCTTCTTTTTTCCAACTGTTACCAGAGTGATATTTACAAAATGCCAGCTGCATCTTGTCATTTCCATGGTTGAAAGCTTCCAGAGTCTTTTCTTACAGGCAACTAGGATAAAGTTCACACTTATTGACAGGACTAATATGTCTTAATAAACTGTACCCTGCACACTGTGAGGCATTGACCTTTTATATTTATAATGACCCTCCCTGTTGCCCACTGTGTTTTACGCTACAGTGTGCTATTTTCTCCTTAGGACACTACACAGACTACTTTGTGTCTCAAACACTGTCATATTTTTCTGGAATTCCATTCACATTAGCCCCTTGTCTTGGAACAGTGACTCACTGCAAACACACTTCTGATAAATTTCCCCCTTTCACATACTTCTCAGTTGGAGTACTATGCACCACAAGAGCTTTCCTGGCTCCCATAGACTGGACTAAGCATTTCTATGTGTTTCCATAATTACATCTTAACTTATATCTCTTTCTTTTTTTTTTTTTTTTTTTTTTTTTGGTTTTTCAAGACAGGGTTTCTCTGTGTAGCTTTGCGCCTTTCCTGGGACTCACTTGGTAGTCCAGGCTGGCCTCGAACTCACAGAGATCCGCCTGCCTCTGCCTCCCGAGTGCTGGGATTAAAGGCGTGCGCCACCACCGCCCGGCTTACTTATATCTCTTTCTATAAAGTCTGTGCATAGGAGCTGTGTCATTTTGTGTATTTTACTTCAAACCTGCAATAAATTCTAAACATAGAAAGAATACTCATTGCTCATTTTCATTTATTTTTATTGGCTGTTGGTGTAATGTAATTGCATATACTTACAGGATACCAAATGATGCTATGATAGATAAATACAATGTGGATCAAATGAGCTCACTGAGACATCCATCCTCTCAAATATTTCCAACCGTTCCTCCTTTCTAACTGAAGTATTGCTCTTTTTGATCAACATCTTTTCATAGTTCCATTGCCTTGTTCTGCTCTCTGCTTCTGTTTGATTTTTTTTTTAAAAAAAAACATCCACATATAAGTGAGAACACACAGCATTTCTCTTTGTGTTGATCAAGTTCCTTAGATGCTGGATACAGAGCCACATCATGTAATATTTCCTCTGTTCAACTACTTATATAATCCCAAATGGTGGTAGTCCTGCAAAGGACTCAAGTTCATGTCCCAGCATACATCAGGCAGCTTACAAGTGCTTATAACTACAGTTCTAGGAGATCTGATGACCTCTCACTTCTGTGGGTACTTGAACACATGTGGGACACAAACTCATGAGGGCACACATACATACACTAAATAAATGCATAAATATTTTTGTAAGAGAACTTTAAGTTGAGAATAGTGGTGAAGAAGAGGATGTGGGAGGGTTTAAGTGGAGGTGAATATGATCAAAATATATTGTATGAAAATTTTGAAGAATAAAATATTGTATTAAAAAGAAAAATACATTTATTAAGTATTTTTAAGAAATCTTATGAAATAACAGGTTTCCTTATGGCTTCTTCAAACATCCTTAGCGCTATTGACCCCTCATCTCCTCTATCCCTCTGCTTCCTCCCACCTGCCTCCACTGGCAAGTCTCCTGCTCCTGTTTCCCCTTTCTCTTTTACCCATTCACAGCACCTCTGGTCTACTATCCCCCTCTCGAGGACCTTTCCATCCCCTACTCCAGCCTGTCTGTATACTAACATCATACACATGGAGGCAGAAATCATAGAAACAATCACATTCTCAATTGATTAAAAAAATAAATAAAATAAAACATTTAAGAATAAATATAACCAAGTAGGTAAAATACCTCTACAATGAAAAATTTAAATCTTCAATGAAAGAAATTGAGGAAGACATTAGAAGATGGAAATACCTCCAATGTTCATGCATTGGTAAAATTATTATTGTGAAAATGACCATTCTACCAAAAGCAATTTGCAGATTCAGTGAGATCCCCTTCAAAAATCCCCCATGACATTCTTCACAGAAATAGAAAAAAAAATCTTAAAATTCATATGTAAGCATAAAACACGGAGATAGCTGAAGTACCCTGATTAGAATCCTGTGGAAGAAGAGGTAGGAAAGGTGTTAGAGCCAGAGGGGATGGAGGACACCAAGAAAACAAAGCCCTCTAAATCAATACATGCAAATCTCATATAAACTCACAGAGACTGAAGCAGCATGCATAGGGACTGAGGGCCTCTGATTATATATTATAGCTTCCAGTTTAGTGTTTTTAGGGGATTTCTGAGTGTGTGAATAAATGAGTCTCTGATTCTTGTGCCTTCTCTTGGGCTCTTTTCTTTCTGTTGGTTTGTCTTGTCCAAAATGTGATAGTTTTGTTTTATCTTATTATACTTTATTTTGTTATATTAAAAAATAGAGTACCCTAAACATAAAGAGTGGTGCTCAAGAGATTACCATACCATATCTCATTATATTATAGAGTCATAGTAATAAAAAAAGAGCACTATGCTGGCATAAAAACAGATGTCTAAATTAGTGGAACAGAATAGAAGTCTCCAACCCAAGTACAAGCAATTATACTCACCAAATACAGTCATATATTTCACAAATATGACAAAAATACACACTGGAGGAAAGATAGCATCTTCAAAAAATGGTACTGGGAAAACTGGACCTGTACATGTAGAAAAATTAAAGTTTCATCAAAAGATGAAATACAAACTTCAGAGAAATGCTTAAAAATTTTCAACACTCTTAGCCATCAGGCAAAATAAAAACTACTTTGAAATTTGATCTTACCCTACTCAGAATGACCAAATCACTAAAATGAATGACAGCACATGCTGGTGAGCATGAGGGGAAAGAAGAACACTTATTCACTGCTGGTAGGAATGTAAACTTGTACAGCCACTGTGAAAACCAGTGTGGAGGCTCTTTAGAAAGCTGAACATTGATCTACCAAAAGATCCAGCTACCCCTAAATGATCCAACATCTTCATCCAGAGGTACTTGCTCATCTATGTTCATTACTGCTCTATTCAAATCACCAGAAATTAGAAGCAGCTTGATGTCTATCAACAGATGGATAATGAAAACATGATACATTCACACGTTAAGAAAAATGAAATTTGCAGGTAAATGGATGGAGCCAGAAACAATCATTCTGAGTGAGATAACCCAGACCCCAAAGGACAAATATAGCGTGTTTTCTCTTGCATGTGAATGTTATCTTTTATGCTTTAGATGTGTATATTTCAATTTGAATAGCCACAGAGGTTAGGTTGCTTGTTAGGGACCAGGTGGGAGGAGGGATCTTCCAAAGAAAGGGAAACAGAATATAGTTTTATTAAGAGATAAAGGGGAAACTAGAATAGGAGGATTAAATGGTGAGGGGGATGGGAGGAAAGTGTAAAGCGGGGGATACTGAAGAGGACAATTAACACTAAAGACCTTTTGAAAGGCCATATTATAAATAAATTGGTTGCAACAACTCTGGGTTTGGTCCTGGATTTTGGCACCAAAATGTGAGTTTTGCAGCTCTGGGAAAGGTGTCCTGACTACCTGGGGAGTCAGGCAATACCTTGAGCTGCTTAGTACAGCTCTGATGGCTGAACTTCAAGGAGATATTTCAGTCCTGGAGGGTGAGGTATCCCGGACACCTCAAGCTGCTCAGAACAACAGCTCTGCCCTGAAAAAAGCTTCTTGAAATAGATATGAAAGGAACTTAATGGAGTCACCATATAATGGGAGACAATGCCCCAACTAGGCATCTTATGCCACCAAGTAAAGCCTCTAGTGGCAGAAATGGGTTATATCTTGTTGAATTATTGGCCAACAGGGTCCTATAAATACCCCTCAAACATCATAGGCTATTGTGAAGGCTATTTGGTTATTCTTCATAACCTGATGGTAAGACCCTATTGCATAAGATATGACTTACTTATGTCATTAAACACAGAGAAATCAAACTAGATGCTTTACCTCCACTGACCAGCAGTAATGTTGCTGAAAGGTACTTTCCATGCTACTAGAGGAGAAAAGTAATCATCAGTATCTCCCAGCTACAAAGCCTGTGTCCTATAACAGAGACTGTTGCCCACAAGGTATACTAGCACAAAAGTGGTACAAATGTTATGGGAGTAACTACCCATATTTGACAGGATTTAAGGCCCACTCCATCACCTGACACTGCTAAGGTGGCCAAGAATTCAAAGTAGATAGGTCATAGGCCCTAGGGGAAAACCTACTATTATTCAGACAGGGCATAGGAAAACTTTCAGCTACGGAACATAGCAATAAAATGAGTGCTAATGACATATTTCTGTTCCCATAGATCAAATCATTATTCAATGTGAATGAGAGAAGCTTCTTACAGTAGGTGGAAATTAACATAGAGACCCCTAACTGGACAATATTTAGAGAATGAGAGACAGGAACACTGAGCACTAACTGGAATGTCTTTATCAAACCCCTCCCTTCAAGGCTCAGGGATCTATGTGGAATAGGAGATGGAAAGATTGTAAGATTATAAGGTGGTAGCAACTCTAAGGAAAGAGCCTCTCTTCCAGACACAACAGAATGGCTACACATATGACTTCAAGGGGACTGTGGTAGATTGTACAAGACCTATACATGTTCAAACCAGACAAAATCCCAGCACTGAGGAGGGCAAGTGGACACAAAGCCCCACCTCTAATCAATAAGTTATTCCAAATGATACCTGTTGGGAAAGGGAAAATCAGTTTTCTCCAGTGCAATGTGACTGAATATATCAACCATACTCTAGGATAGACCTTATGCTCAGTAGTAATTGGCTCACATAAAATGGACTCTATGTTTTTAGTTGCCATTGTTGTTTTGTGTGTGTGTGCGTGTGTGTGTGTGTGTGTGTGTGTGAGAGAGAGAGAGAGAGAGAGAGAGAGAGAGAGAGAGAGAGAGAGAGAGCATATGCCCCTACATATACATAATTTTGTTTTGCTTTGGTATTTTTTGACTCATTCCTTTTTTGTTTGTTTGTTTGCTTTAATTTTAGGTTCTTGGGTTGTTTTGTCTGAGAGAGAGAATGTGAGGTTAGTAGGGGAGGGAGGTGGGATGATGTGGGAGAAGTTGGGGAAGAGGAAATAATATGATCAAAATATATTCCATGAAAATAAATTTTCAAATAAAATTATTATAAAAAAGAGAAGATTTTTATCATTTCAGCCTCAATGTTTTTTTTTTATTTTATAATTTAATTTAATTTTACATATCAGCCATGGATTCCCTTGTTCTCTCCCCTCCCATACCCCCCCCCCCATTCCTATCTCTTCCCGGACAAAGATTCCCCTGAGGATTGAGTTCAACTTGGTAGCTTCAGTCCTGGCAGGTCCAGTCCCCTGCTGTGGATATCGCTCTGTATAAATAAACACTGATTGGCCAGTAGCCAGACAGGAAGCATAGGCAGGACTAACAGAGAGGAGAATTGAGGGAACAGGAAGGCAGAGGGGGAGACTGCTGGAGCTGCCGCCAGGACAAGGAAGATGTAAAGTACCCATAAGCCACGAGCCAAGTGGCAGAGTATAGATTAATAGAAATGGGCTAAATATAAGAATAAGAGCTTGACAATGATAGGCCTGAGCTAATGGCCAAGCAGTTTAAATAATGTAAGAATCTGTGTGTTTATTTTATAAGTGGACTCCGGGACTGGCAGGACTTGGCGGGAGCTGGAGAGAAATTCTCCAGCTACAGTCCCCTCCTCCCAGGCTGAGCCAAGTGTCCCTGTATAAGCCCCAGGTTCCAAACAGCCAGCACATGCACTGAGGACTGGTCCCAGTCCCACTGCCTGGATGCCTCCCAAACAGATCAAGCTAATCAACTGTCTCACTTATCCAGAGGGCCTGAGCCAGTTGGGGAGCCTCAATGTTCTTTACAGCTATGATCTGTTATGTAGGAGGGAAGATTTACCAGAGCCCAACCCCTGGCAGGAAGGGCAGTTTTCAAATTTAAGCCCTTTCTAGTGTTCCCAATTCATAGGGAGGGGAAGAAAGGGTCAGACATGCTTATTAAAGTCACACGGCAGGAACATAGACCCGCCAGTGACAAATAAAATTACAGAATGAGTCTTATCTCCACACCTCACCTCCTGATCAACATGGTTCCAGGGTAACACTGAAGGCCTAAACTGTCTCTGAAGATGGAATGGAATCCCAGGGTAGCCTATGAAACAACAATGACAATAGGTAAACTTGACATCTGACCCAGCCCAACTTCTAATCAGATTAATATAAAACTATACAGTAAACGTGAGCTTATTTTATTTTCTATCACCCAATACAGCATGGCGTGCTTCCACCCCAAAGTTACAATGTGTGTGAAAAAACAGGGGTAAATACCACCACACTATCAAGAGACAAATTGAATCAGAGAGATACCCAGAGATAACACAGCTTTTGAAATTAGTAGGTAGGCAGGTGATTTAAAAAGACTGATTGACATGTTAAGCAAGCTATCACAAAGTAGGCAATACTCAAGATAGATGGGAATTAAGTGTCAGATCTTCTAGGCTTGGCAGCTGAAGACTGGGACTTCTGTCCCCCAACAACCATGGAGAAACCTGGGTTAGCTACCTAGGTAGCAGAAAAGATGTCTCACTTCTGCTTACTCAGGTGCAATTTATCCTTCTCAGATCTGAAAGTGTTTGACACTAAGGTACTGACAGATTTACCAGTTTAACAACTCTGCCCACCTCCCCATACCTCAAGGCTACAACCACCTTGGTAGCTCATTAGTTCATTAATTAAGTTTCCTGTTAAAAATACAGACAAATTTGGCTCATTCACAGGCTTTATAGTACAGGATAAACAGGTTTCAGATGTAACTTCAGAGGGTCAGAGTTTTAGCATTGATAAATGCAGTTTTGATTAACTGACAGATCACTGACTATAAACAGTTTTCAGAAGTTCTTAAATTTCTGTGGATTTTACTGGTCCTAGCTTTTAGGACTGCACAGGCTTTTTGCTGTGACACCAAGATGTAAATCTGTTCCAGCTATCTTACAGATGCCTGCATGTTCCTGGTAAAGAGTTCTGCTACTGTATCAAAGAATCTGGCTTGGTGGATCAGTCTCTAGACAGGTCCACTCCTCCTGCCAGACTTGTACTAAGACCAACCCACAGGGGGCCCTCCATATATGCCAGCCCAGGGACCAGTTCTGGAGACACCAACTACTATCAGATAAACTTCACCCACATGCTCACTCATCAAATCTCCCTTATTTCTTAACTCTTACTGACACCTTTACAGGATGGATGGATGCTCTTCCCATCTCCAGGGAAACAGCAGATGTGATGACTCAAGTACTCCTGGAACACATCATCCCTCGATTTGCCATGTCATCCCCCCAAGCTCCTGGGACATCAGTGCTAGTACTACCTTTCCAGACTCAAGTGGGCACCTGTCCAGGATAAATGGGCACATCTCTGCTTCATTCTTTCTGGCAGTCTTCACTCTTCCCACGGTTAGCCCTGTTCATAGGGCTGATGTTAATAATCTATTTCTTCTCCTAGCAACCTGCCTTCTCCACTTACTCAAGAAAGAGATCCCTGAGGTCTCCAGGATGGCAGCTAACTTAAGGCTTCTTCACTCATACCTCCCTCAAAGTGTGAGCCCAACAACTCCTGACTCCCCCATCTCCACATTGTCCCTTGCCAGTATGAAGTAGCCAGATTTGAACTGGTGCCCATATATACCCCAAAAGGTTGGGATGTTGGGGATCTCCAGCATGGGCCCCATTCAAACCCCTGCCCAGATGTTTAGCTGGGAACCCCACCTCAGCCCCACTCTCTGCAGATCCTGCCCTCAGAAAGAACGCCGAGCAAGAGATCCTCCCCCAGAGCACCTCAAGACCACACCCACAGGGTATTTAAGGTCTGGTCCATTGACCTTCCAAGTGATTTCTTTCCTGCTTCCTTTCCCCGAGAGTTGCTCTGCCCAGATTAAACCTGGTCTTATTAATTTGGTTTGATTTGGCTTATTACACCAGTGAAGTTATCCACTACTGGGAATTTTCATAATACTTATCTATCACCAGAGGTGGAAACTCTGTATGCTCATTGGTGTCATTGAACAGGCTATATGTGAATGGGAAAAGCAGCAGTTAACGTGGATCATGAAATACTAACAACCCACATGGAAGCACAAAAAGAAAAAACCCAAAAGACAAAAAAGAGAGAAACAAAGCAGAATGTCTTGAGAACTGTGGCCCAATTTTAAAAGAAGTAACGCACGTATAATTGGAAGATCAGAAGGAGAAGAAAGAAATCAGAATGGAAATTTGAAGGAATAAAATGGAACTGCCCAAGTTCCCTGGCAAACTACATAATTCACTAATATCAGAGAGCACAAAGCATGTCAAATATCAAAGTGTCTGCAAGTAGACAAGCATGTAATTCAACTTGTAAAACGCCAAAGACAAGGAGAAACCTTGGGAGAAAGCAGGGGGAAAACACCTTGTCTATAGAGAAAAATGATAAAGATTAGAGCTGACCATATAAAGAAGACAGTTCAGCAAAAATTCAAAATTCTGGAAGAAATAATTACCTACCAATAGCAAAAAATGCACTTGAAAGGTAAATAAAGATTTCTTAAAATCAGTGTGTAAGGGGCTGGAGGACGGCTGGGTGAGTAGGAGTGCTTGCTGTGCAAGCGTGAGGACTGGGGTTGATCCCAACACCCACGTAAAAGTTGAGCATGGCAACAGCAGCATGCCTGTGACCTCAGAGACAGGGACATCTGAGCTTTCTGGACAGCCGGTCTGTGGAAACCTCCTTAAGCTCCAGGTTTGGTGAGAGACCTTGTCTCAAAGACATATGATGGAGCATGACAGAATAGGACAACAGATATCCTCCTCAGACCTCTGCACAGACACAGCAAGTGCTTACATCTTCCACATGCATATATGATACAACACACACACACACACACACACACACACACACACACACACACACACACACACACACACTGAACAAGAAATTGGCCTTGGAAGTTTTTTTTTAAGTTTTTTTTTTTTTTTTTTAAAGTTTTTATGCAGTGTGTATGTACAGGTCAGAAGAGGGCACCAGATCTCATTACGGATGGTTGTGAGCCACCATGTGGTTACTGGGAATTGAACTCAGGACGTCTGGAAGAGCAGTCAGTGCTCTTAACCTCTGAGCCATCTCTCCAGCCCCGCCTTGGAAGTAATTTTAAACGACTTTCCTCAGATGTAATGGAAATTATGAATTACAAACTGGGATTCAAATAAAGAAAGTAAACAACAGGGAAAAGTGAGTATAAGCTACACTATTTTTCTTATTTTTTAATTATCTAACAGGTAACTTATCGACTACCCAGGGTTCCAGGGATTTCACTATGTCCAGCGTGGGATATCTGAGGGGAAAAAATCTACATATGCTATGCTCTTATGTCTGTTAACTTTATTCCTCTAAGACAAAATTCTATCAATATAGCTATAGCTCCACCAGGCATTCAGGATGAGAATAAATATAGATACACCAAACTCTTTATCTTTCTACTTTATGTCTCTGGCATGAAATCCTGTCTACATAGCATCAGTTCCGTCCAGTTCTCTAACCCATAGTCCTGCTAATGACTAAACTCCTATGCTTCCAGCCTCATCTTCGTCCTCTGTTTCCTCATTCTCCATTTCCACTACTCTCTACTCCTGACACTCAGAAAACTCTACCTGAGATCTGCTTACCCTCTATGGAACCTCTGTCTTCCTCTCTTTTCTCTCGCCATGCCATTCTGTCTGTTTCTACAGAAAATGCCTGTCCTCTTCTTCCTGGCCACACAGTTCTCTGCCTCCTCAGGAATGTTCCTCCACCCTCCACCCTTCCACCTTTATATGTAAAAACCTCTTTTTGTTCTCTGTCAGTTGCTCTGGAGAGCTACTAGGCCTCAAGGCGAGGAGATGGTCTGAGCTTCACTTGCACAAGAAGCAAAGCTATGAGTCTCCAGCCAGCTGTCTCCTAGGTTTGGGGCTGGGGTGGGGGGAGGAGTAAGTAACCTAGAAGTTCAGCAGGTTTGGAAATATTTGGGCAGGCAAGAATTTCATAGCAGAAGATAGCTGAAATATTAAAGGCTGGATAGCACCAAATATTCATAACAAATGGCTTGCCTTTTGACAGACCCTTGGCCAGTCAATGTATAGCTTTAAAACACAGCTGAATCTCTATAATACATTCTTGTCGCCCGCAAGAGTAACTACTTAACATAATGACAGAAGTATACATATTAGGTAACTATAGTTCATTGCTGAAATACATGACAGCAATGCCTAGAGATGGGAAAGAGCAATCAGTAATATTTAAGTTGTCACGTACCACACTGGGCATGAATAGTGTCATTTGAAGGTTGTCTTATGCTAGTAAACACACATGTTGCAAACTCTATTGGCAGCCATTAAAACATTTATAACAGAAACGTAATTGGTTAGTTAACAGAGAAGTTAAAAATAGAGTCATATAAAAACTCAATTAAAGCCAGACAAAGTAGAAAAAAAAATGAGATTACTTTATGATGTGGCTATCCCTAAGGAGTGTCTGGTGGTCACCAGGATTCAAGGCTTGGTATTTTTGTTTGCTTTTCAGGTCAGAAGGAATCTAGCCAGCTGAATGTGAAGAAGGGTTGAAATATAGGAGCATATACTGGGTCATATTCACTAGGAAAAGTTAACTTGTTCAAAACTTATGTAGGTATTAACATTGTGGCCCTGATTTTCTTGGAAGCCTCTGCCTGGAGATTTTACAAGGTCTGATGTTTTGCCCTTGTTCTGAGAACAGTGTGTAAAGCGTGATGGTACAAGAAGGACTACTTCAGCTAAACTTGCTGCATATGCCTTGTAAATGAAGGAGAAACTCTCACAGATGATGCCTGTCTGGTACCACCCCTAGCTGTCTTTAAACCACCAATGAAGCCCTAGGCCCTTTAGTCAGGCCAATTCAATTCCTTAACTGATAAAATTGTTACTAGAATATTCTAGCAAGGAAAGTACTCATTTTCTAAACTGTTCATAACAAATTACTACATTGGTGGCTTGAAATGTATTTGCTCATAGCCCTGTGGGTGAGAAGCTGAAATCTGTGTGCTTCCATGGTCCAATGTGAGACCAAAATGAGCCATCTTAGAAATAAGACCA